ACTACGTTCTTACAAAGTGAATGCAGCACCTAATCGCAACGGTAAGCAAAATTTGTTGGCGAAACAATGTGCTCGGAAATTGTACGACAGTCTCATACAAAAATTTGGCAGTATTGTTATGGATGACGAATCGTACGTAAAAGCCGATTTTAAACAAATCCGGGGCCGCGAATTTCACACTGCAAATAAAAGAGGCAATGTTGCAGATAAATATAAAAACAAAAAGTTTGACAAATTTCCCAAAAAGTTTCTCATTTGGCAGGCAATTTACCAATGCGGCTTCAAAAGTGATCTTTTTGTAAGCACTGGTACAATTAACCAAGAAATTTATGTTAAGGAGTGTCTGCAAAAGCGACTTTTACCTCTTATACGGCTTCATAAAGATCCAGTGCTTTTTTGGCCAGATCTCGCGATATGTCATTACGGAAAAATGGCTTTAGGATGGGAACATAGAAACAAAGTGTATTTTGTAGCAAAAGAGGTGAATCCACCTAATTGTCCAGAGCATCGGCCGATCGAAGCCTACTGGGCCGTTATGAAATCCAAACTTCTTATGATCCACAAAGCTGTAAAAAACGCACAACAATTCAAAAATAAATGGCAGCTGGTTTCCAAGGAAATCACTGAAACTTCTGTACAAGGGCTAATGAAGGACATAAAGTCAAAATTGCGATCGTTTCTGCCCTTCTTTTGACATTTTTCCTGTAGTACCTGGAATTAATATGATCTATGATAAAGTTAAGTCTTTATTTTAACTTACCTTTTTCTCCATCATAGAGTATTCACATCAAAGAATAATATGCCTGTTCATGTAGTCAAAAGTTATCAAAAATTAGGGGTCTTCATTTTCATTTCATTTCATTTATTAATAAAATCATTAGCACAATAAGATCAAAAGAATGATCTTTTATAGCGCAACAAAAAATTCATAACAGCACATACATATAACTAAAACAGCAAAAATTACTTAAGACTAAATAAAAGTAACATAATATAATTAACAGAGTAGTATTTTTAAGTGAGTTCTACAATTCCAGGACATATACTTAAAATAAGACTTAATTAAACAAGTACATAGAGAGCACATCACAGGGACTGAAGTGAAGCTAACGGAAATATGCATACAGAACATTTTTAGAGTTGCTTTTGTTTAAACTACTGCGAATATGGGATGGAATAGAGTTCCAGATGCGGATAGCATTGACAAAGAATAGCCGTGCAGAGCTGAGATAATTGTAGGTAGGAACAGTCAAGTCCTTTACTCGAGTGGATTTGGGGAACATTAATTTTTCATATAGATATTTGGGTGCCTTATCTGTCATGAGACGAAAAAGGAATACACAATTTCTAGCTTTAAGATATTCAGAAATTTCGCAGCCAAGTAGGCGCGTTCTCCAAGCGGAAATATGTTCATATCTTGCTAGCCCAAACACATAGCGCGTGATCTGGTTAAATACTACATCTATTTTGTGAGCTGATTGGGAATCTAACCTGCTGTAGACTACCTCAGAATAACAGATAATTGGCATTATAAGTTGGATTGCGAGTTTACGTCTGATTTCTATCGGTGTAAATGGAGCAGACATTCGTAAATTCCTTAAAGTATTATCAAAAGTAAATTTATCATTTTGATAAACGAACTGTCAAACTTTGTATGGAAATCTATTTAACCAAAGTTTATCACTTTATCAAACGACTTTGGTGGATAAATATATATATTTCAGCAAAATTCAACCCTTACAGGTTGCCAGGTAGTCGCTTTTGCTACGAACACATAACAGCAATTGAACACAATGGACGAGGTAAGAATGAAACGTAACTACCCAGCAAGAACAGTGATAGTCATTTGATTAATCATGTGTTACTCAATGGTGATGGAAATGTCCATCAAGCACTCCCATCACGTTCTTAAGGCCAATGTGAAAAAAATGATGGAAACAAATGTATACGTGTAATTTTTTATCTTCTTTCAACTTATGAATTTTATGGCCTTATTTAAAATATAGCTGAACTGCTTACTCCACCGTATCTCGACAGTCAACGATGACGTAGATACCTATCACGGCTGATCCATCAAACTTGATGTACAGACTTGTCACTACTGATTAATGAAATTTGATGTATGAACATATCACAGTTGACCGATCACACCTGATGTATAAACCCATCATGGCTGATAAATCATATTTGATGTGCAAACCTATCACAGGTGAGCAATCATGCTTGATGCACATACCCATCACAGTTGATCCGAATATTTAAAAAAAATTAATACATACATTAATTTTCACTTCACATTTATTACATATGTATGTACATACATACGTTTTTAAATTAATTAGAAGAAATTAAATTATACAAAACTTAAAAGGCATATTATTTCAAAATAGTTTAAACTTAAGGCAGAAGATACTAAAAGATAAAAAAAGTTAATTTTGTTTCCCCTTTTTTAAATATTTTTTTTGTTGAACGCGATGGTGGCTCAGTTCTACCGCCTTTCGCACACTTCTTTCGAAGTTGAGGGCCCCTTGTTTCTGGAATACATCTGAAATGAAATGCAAAAAGATATCTTATAAAAATAGCTTTTCCTTGGTAGATTAAAGAAAGTACCTCGCAGAATATTATTAATAATATTAAGTTTATTAAGCGCCCATGTCCCGTCCCAATTGTAGTTGTGAAGCAGGTCATCCGTGAAGATGCCGCGAATGACAGTGCCGACATCTTCTGATGTCCCCTTCATTTTGTTCAAATACGAAGTCTATAAAAAAAGAAAATAAATTTATATGGGTATAATATTACAATATTGAGTGTTACCATTGCTTGGGCAAACTCTTGAACTTGAAGCCATTCTTCCACATTCAGCACCCCAGTGGTAGTTGCTAATGGGAGCATGCTGGTGACCTCGTTCATGAACGTGTCCTCCAACTCTCCCGTCAGGCGGCAAACGGACATCTCAATTTTTCTAACCGCCACCTTACACTCTCTTAGCGCCTTCGTCTGAGCCATCGCCTCCGGGTTCTTTTCGATCTGGTGAAAATGTTTTACATTAATAAATGTGTAGGAGTAAAATTACCACATTCTTACACTTATATTTATTTTCTCTAGCTCCTTAGCTATCTCCTCTTGGTTGGCTACAATACTAGCCAATCCCTGGCTAAGAATGGCTTGATTTTGTATTACAGTCGTTTGCTTAAGTATGAGAAGTATTTTTACAATGAGAAAATACATTTATCTTCAAAAACAGAAACGCGAATTACATTTTCCTCTAACTTTTCCAGCCGTGCGTTGGACTCCTTTTGCCCATTCAGGACTTCCCTCAAAGCTTTCAGAATATCTTAAACGAAAATATCAAATAAATAATTAATTACTATAGGCGAAATTCGTTTTTTGCGTACCATTTTGAGATGATGCCGATGTCTCCGGAAGCGGATCACTTAAAGCGTCATACGATTTTTTTGGCAAAATTGCTAAAAAGAAAACTAAACTGATATATATGTTTTTGTTTATTAATTTATTTGCTTACTGTTTTCTTGGCTATCGAAGGACTCTTCAAAAATATTGCCGGATATATCCAAAAAAATTAAAAAATCAAGAATTGTTATTAATATTGTTAGTATACTTATTTTTATTATTATTTTGTTGTCATTTTTATTATTAATATTTTTGTTAATATTTAAGAGTATTATTATTATTTTTATTATTATTATTATTATTATTAGTAGTTTTATTATTATATTTATTGATATTATTGCTTTTATTTTTATTATTTTTGTTTATTTTCAAGATTAATTTAAATGCAATGCTTAGATTAGTGTGCAAACTCATGAAATAGATGGTGAAGAAGGGGAATAAGAAGAAACTTGTTGCCTATAGGTATGGAAAAATATTTGAATTCGATATCTGTAACCGGAACTACTGTGGTTTCACTACTAAATTCTCCAGCAACAACTATACCTAAACCACTAAACGACTGCAGAGGTTGCTCGAAGTAGTTTTCCGTATTTTGGAAAACTTTGCATACAAAATTCTCGGGGCTCACTTGGTCCACTACTTTGATGGGTCCTGTCTTCTTAGTGAAACCAAAGCTGTATTTTCCTTTTTTATGGGAAATACTAAAGGACCCTATTTTCGAAGCATTTCTCGAAACTGATTCAAGTCCCTGTCTTTCTTCAAGCCTAAGAAATATCTGTTGCAGAATTTGATTGGGTTTATTTATAATTTTTTTAATAGACTGCATGTAGTTCTCATATTTGTAGGCTGCAAAGGAGTCTAGTGGTCCAAATTGTTTTACGCAATCCGTTAAATGGAGAAGTCCATGGACGTTAAAGCTTACTAGCTCGTCACCATATAATGTTCCGAAAAATTTTACGAAATCTTCTAAAAGCTTTTGGGAAATATCTGCGTCTCTTTGATGCGACCTTTCATTGGACAGCAGTCTTATACCGCTATGCAATAGTAGGAAGTGATAATATTGATCACTAATAATACAACCTTTCAAAACGAAAATACCGGTGTACAGCAAAAATTGCCTAAACTCTGTGGACTTCCAATTACTTATGTGATTTAAATTTCTAGGCACACGACAAAATTCCGATGGAACAAATTTAGCGACAAAATTAAATTTATTATTTATGTTAATTAAATTTGATTTCTTAATTAAGAGTTTAAGCATTTTTTTGTCACCCCCAAATCGACGAGATGCATGCTATCCAGGGGGAACTGCGAAACCATTCCGAACCCGGATTCCTCCAACAAACTCTTTTTGGTTTTGAATGGTTCTATGTGGTGCGCCAGATCGCGTCTAAGCTCAAATGTAGAATCTGACCTTAAACCTCTTACCTCTTTCAGAAAACACACTCTTCTATTTTTATATAGTCCTTCCTGATCGCATTTGGGACAACCATTCTTGCTATTGTGAGATACGATACCAGTCACGAATGCTCTGGCTGGAGTGTCACAAACGAAGAGACGGACATTGAATCGCAACCTATTTTGGTTGGGGCCCACTTTGATGCCATTTTCTTAAAACAACTTTACTTCTGTACAAAAGTCTGCCATAAAACTATTTATATTTTCGGGCTTCTTGAAACCCGAGAAACAACCGATCATGAAAGGACTAACTTTAGGAAAGCCCACAATCGCCCCAAGGATAGGCCACAAAACTCTGTTTGAGCTTTTGAACACTTTAAGTCCATCCACACCGACATCGATTAAGACTTCTTCCTTCCCATTTAAAAATTCAAACGAAGATGAGAGAAAATACTTTTGTATTCCTAAGTATAAAAACTCTCCACTGGGAATGTTGGCAATATGAATTTTTTCCTTACTTGTGTTAAGAAGAGTTTTAGCCGATAAAGGCAAATCATTCACTCCTATCTTTCTTAAAGAATGTAATAAATCTTCTAAAACACTTTGTGATACGCTATTCCGAACTGCCCATGATTTTATCACATCGCATTTTTCATTCCTACCAATATTTCTCACAGGGTAAGAATCAGTACCCACGGAAGAGGAAGCTACAGGATCTAATTCAGTTTCCGAAGCACTGTCAGTTTCACTCCACCCACGCTCAATGAGAAATGAATCATCTGAACATATGGATGATCCGGGCTCAGGAAGCACATTTTCACCGACGCTTGGGGTAGAAAGGCAACCACTTGCGGAAGGCGATTCTGTGGGCTCAAATATTACATCTCTACCTGGTTTTAATAAAGAAGCACCCGCAGAAGTGGATGCTCCTGACTCCCAAACCAAATGACCACCATCACCTCCACTTGCAACACCATCAGCACATTGCATTTCTAATAATCTTTTAAATTTTTTCACATCGGACTCAAATGCCCTTTTTTCTTTTGTTATGCAATTTTGCAAGTGCCTTTTATTCATTTTACTTATCTTTCTTAAATTCCGCTTCTGGTAATTCCACCTTTTTAATATTTTAATTTTATCCACTCGCGCGCTTTAGCAGCTTACTTTTCTTTGATTTCTTTTTAAAGTTCTTTCTTAATAAAAAAATGCAACTCTGGCGAATGTATTAGTTGTTTCACTCTTGCATATACATAAAAAATTGTAACAATGGTATCTTTTTAACCAACGCAAAAATATTAGAAAGGTTTGCAAATGTGTTAGTGAGATAAATGAGAATGTGTTAGTTTCCATCACACAATTCTTGTAGGGTAGCCATATAATTTTAATAATAAACAGTTTTATGCAATTATTTACCAAGGTGTGTTCATGAAAGAAGGAGGATAAACTGATAAATTTAAGCAATTTATCTCTTTATCACTTTAGATGAAGACCCCTACTATCTATGCAGTTTTGGTGTTCATGTATCCGAAAAACTTCCAAAGTAAGGAAAATTGAGAGAGCAAAATTACAGTTCTCTAGTAGGGGAAGTTACAAATTTTTACTGGCAGGGGAAGTTACAAGTTTTTACTGGACAAATTTATGCCAGTGAAAATTTGCAAGCGAAAAAAAACCAGCGGATCGCATGTTGCTGTGTGCCATTTAAACTAATAAGGAAATTATTTATGTGGTTTTTATAGTCGAAATTGACAACATAAACCTATTTAAATATAAAGTAAGACATGAAATACTGTTTTATTAAGAAATTTCTACGAATAAACCACAAATTTATCAGCTGTCATGAAAACCAATAGTTACTGGTTTTACGTTTACTTATAACCCTTACTAAGTAGAATTTTCCTGTGTTGCCAGAGAGAAGCGACAGAAGTATTTTTATTCTTTTTGCGTAAAAATGCATATTTCGCATTATAAAAATCGTGAACGTACTGCTCGTCTCGTTTATCGAATTATGACGAGCAGTACGTTCACGAATGCAATAAACCGAAATATGCATTTTTACGTAACGAGTTGCTCGTTCACGAATGTTACGATCCTGCGTCATTCCGCTTAAATAGACCCGAGCTGGTTATTTTAAATTAATTTTACTCATATGCAGCATTTGCTTTCGCATCTACACGAAGCAATTTATGTTTACTCTTCACATGCCATAACATCATGGGCCGTTGATTGAAACGCATATGGCAGATGACGCATTCATAACGTAACGCATTTTCATGCAATTTCATATGGGTTTGCAATGTTATCTTGCGAGAAAACTTTGCCTGGCATGTTTCGCATTCATAATTACGTTCCTTCGTGTGTACAACAGCGTGTGTACGCAACTGACGACCATCAAAAAAGCATTTATCACATTCATTACACTTGTAATTTCGGACATTCAGATGACGTTTTTCGTGAATATTTAACCTGCCATTAGTTATGAAACTGCTCCCGCAATAGGTGCACACAAACGGCCGCTCACCGGTGTGCCATC